CACATATACCACTGTAGGTAGTTAACTAAGTACGATCTAAGTACGTAACTAATAATATATAGTACTATAGTAAGACACTACTATACGATTATTTCTTCTCTCTACTATATATATATATATATATACTATATATATGTGTGTGTGTGTGTGTGTGTGTGTGTGTTCATAAAAACACACAAGCCTTTACCATAACCTTAATTTCTAACATTTTTCTCACTAGAAAGCTTAGAAACAAGTTGCTATCAACACTTAACCCTGATGTTGGTAGAGGTGCATGTGAATTAAGCTGTAGTTATATACATTATTTCTTATTTCCTTGACTATTTTTAAAATAAAGTGCTACATGTTTTACCAGTTGTAATCGGACAGAAAGCCTTGATAGAACATCTTGAGAAGTTTGTAATCTATTCTGGATGCTTATAATCTCAAATAAGATTATTGAAAAACACATTAAGAAGCTAAGTGTAGCAAGAAACTGAGCCACACAGTCTGAGTGATTAGTAGAACATATTATTAAACAGAACATAAATGTACAAGTTCTTTAACTTTTGATTTTGAATACCCTGTTTTCTTCAACTAGAGCTGCATGTTTTTTACTTAATTTTCTTTCAAGTGGATCCACATGCCTGTGTAAGGCTTACACATTCATCCAGGTCATATAATGGTGAGTTTGAACTATGACAGAAATCTAAGTGTCATGTTCCTGTATCAATTTTGGATATACAGTTATCATGGAAAATTTATGGAGATTGAGAATAAATGAAAAATGAAGCACTGAGCTCCATAATACTTAAGTGTAGTATTTTTCAAGATTGTAAAAGTGCATTTGTCAACATAATTTGAATTACTTTTGTAGAGCTTGTCTGAAGTTATTTTTATCTATGCGAGAAATGAAATAAGACCACATTACCAAACTAAAATAAGCTTTTTCTATTTGCAGTTGGACCGTAATAAATATATTTACCTCATCTGCATATGCCTTTCCAATGCCATCTGTTCCACCAGTTATAACTGAAAGTACACAACAAAGAAAATCACTTTTTTCAAACAGAGAACAATAAAACTATAAGTGATATAAGGCATTTCACTTTTTTAGTGTTGTATACAATGGTTTCCCAAGCATTTATTTTAAATTTAACCCCTGTCTAAGTTGATTAAGACTTTCCTTTCTGCAATAACTTACCAACTGTAAAACCTTTATATTTGGGTCTGTAGTGTGGCAGTAAACTTATTATGCTTTATTATAAATTGATTATTATTATTAATTTAACTGGCTTTATTATAAATTGATTTCTTATGTTGATGTTTTTGTTTAAGAACTATAATTCAAGTGTAAATTCATTTTGCTCCATAGTATAAAGCTTGCTCTTTGATATCTATATTAATAGTCTGTTTAGTGTACTTAGTTAATTGTTTGCTTAAATGCTTAATAACTCGTCTACTACCCTAAAACTTCATCATGAACCACACTGTTTTATGGTTGTCAATTATTTAAATAATATAGCAAGTTTTGCTCACTGGGAGATACCAGTAGAGAGTTTTTAACAGCTGAAGTTAGAGCACAATGAAACAGATGGTTTACTATTTATCAAAGGTTTTAATTGCCACTAGTAGTTTCAGATAGATGTACTTAACAAAGATCTACAAGGTTGTCATTAATGAGTGTAGGATTAGAGGTTAAAGTTTAACTACGAGATAAGAAGTGCGACTTGGCACTCTTGTAATCATAATGCTTATTTTCTTCAAATGATGTAACTATGTAATATACTTACTTGTTGTTTATACACAGCAAACTCCATTACGATGTTGAGCTATACTAAAGATAACTTAGCAACATTTCAGTGATAATATTTCATTGCAAACTGCAATTAAAAGTTAGCACATTGATAACTATGTGTGATAATTGTTAAGAATGTAAAAGAAAAATCTACATACATACAAACATGGGATATATATATATATATATATATATATATATATATATACATATATATATATATATATACTACTACCTACTTGTGTGTAGTGAGTCTCCTTACCTTTACTTTACCTTAACTTACTTAACTTAAACGTAAACAACT